CTGAAGAACAAGTTGCCGCCCCAGAGGTCGCGGTGGCAAAAGACGTTCCGATATTTGCTGGATGGATTAACCATTTCGTAGACGCTGTCAAGATGGTGCGGCAGCTCGTCGGAGATGAACTTTTGTAGGGCCTCGCTTTGGAAGGCGGGGTGAACACGCGCCACAGCTAGGACAGCCTGAAAGTGAACAAAGAGAGAAAGGAGGAAAATGGAAAATGGCGCTTGGCTTTCAAGAAGATTTGATAAATATGACACAGCCCTAAAAATGTATATTTTAACGCAAGAAACGGTAATAAGTTTTTCGGGAGTTTGAAAAGGGGAAACCAGGTTGGTTCTGTAACAACGGAGCACACATTTTGAGTAATTTAAATACTTGACATAATTTTTTGTCATGCTAGAGCTGGACACAAAAAGTTAGCATTAAAAAGTGAAAACATTTGTATGTCTTAGAAAAGCGGATATAAAAAATGTACGACAGGCAGTAGTTAACGCTTTTAAATTGGAAAAACGTTTAAAATTTCTGTACTGTTTTTAAAAGAAATTTATGGCCATTTTTTGAAAAATTAGGTCCTGTTTGCAATTACAAAATATTTAAGTTCTGCTTTAAAATAACAAAAATAAAAGATTTTTTCCCGGGTTTTAAATTACAAAAATTATTTCCAAGCTTTCAATTAACCAAATATTTTTTTCGAGTTTTTAGACTACCAAAATCCTACGCTCAAGTTTTGCATTCAGAAGGTTCAGTTTTTAAAGTGCTAAAACTCTATTTCCAATTTTTAAGCGATCAAAAACCTTATTTTCCAAATTGGCAAAAATCTATGCCTAGTTTTTGCATTTAACCAAAAAAATGTATTGACTAGAAAATTATGTTCAGTTTTAAATTATGAACAAGTAAGAGCAGCGCTGTCTTCGGCTATGCCGAAGGCTTCATACCGTTCATGAACATCTGAAAACTTTACTTTAACAGACTACTGCATTTGAAAAAAATTATATATTCACAGCATACGTAGATACCCAACAAGCATTTCAGTAAACGTTTTTAAAAATAACTTAAATTAAGTTTGCTATAAGCGTTAAATAAGCATTTTTAATATTAAGCTTATTAAAAGTTTTTTCAAATAAACCCTTAATAAGTTTTGAGAGCGAATGTTTATAAATAACTTAAACTTATAAATGAAATGTAAATGCCAACGACATCAAGTAGTAAATATAAAATTTTTTCAATCGTAAGTGACGTGTTTACGTTTTTTAAAATATATTATTAAAAGAAAAAATTAAATAAAACCAATGCGGTAAAACAAGAAAATCCAATCCAGGACCCGCTGCGCTAATCGGTGGAGCATTCGAGTCTTCAAATGATGAGTTCTCCTTATCCTTTCTTATTTTAACATTCAATTAAAAATGTATTAAATTTTTTTTCAGAAAAGTTCATCAATGAGAATGGCGGCGATGAAGCGGAATATATAGCTGCATCGATGTCGCTTTTCCAATTTGCCAATAACCGCAAGTAATTGAAAGCACGCAACAAGATGTAAAAATTAACTTTTTTATGCTTAATTTGTATGTGTTATTGTGAATTTGTATGCTAAAATGTCTATTCCCTATTTATATTTTCGCGACTGTAGATGAGTCCGCCGAAATTTCGCATTTCGTTTAGTTTCTAGATGTTAAGCAATCTATGTATGAGTTTTTAATGAAATATCTTTAAATAAAGGGTTATAAAAATGCTTATAAAAAGCTTTCTTTTGAAAATTTTTAGTAAATTTATATTGATACGCTTATAAAAAACTTTTTTTGAACCTTTATTATAAGTTTACACTTTTACGCTTATACAAACATTTTGAACATTTATTACAAGTTTATATTTCTACGCTTATAACCAATGTTCCTTTTCGATTATATTACGCTTACTTTCAAGCGTTTTATAAACAAAAAATCAACGTTTTGTAAGCTTAATGTTTATAATTGAAAACTTAAGAAAAACTTTCTTTAAGTTTATTTTGCTTGTTGGGTAGAGGAGACACATATATAAAAGAATCATATCTAAACAATCAGAGGTATGGAAGATATACCTTATATAGCACCAATCTAAATGATTTTTACTGCTGTGTGATCGGTATGTAAACCGGTAACGCAATTTAAGGGGTTCAGCTTCCTACATAATAGAGACATATCGCAAAAACTGGTATCTGAACAATCAGTGGTATAAGAGATAAAGCTTATACAGCATAGATTTTAACAATTTCCTCTGTAGACTTTGTATTAGTATTTATACAATAGCTTACGAAATTTATCGGTTTTAGCTGACCAAATAAACTAGTTTTACATTAAAACCCCATATCTGAACAATCAGTTGTATGAATGCAATATATAGGTTATAGTGACCCGATCTTTGTTAGTTTTACTGTAAACTATCTGTTGATAATGAGTGAAAACGGACCGAATTTTCATGTTCCTAGCTGCTTAAATGGAGAAGTTATGGCAAATAATCTCATATCTGAACAATCAGATGTATGGAGGCTATAGGTTATAGCGACCCGATCTTCGCCATTTTCACTGTAAGTATTTGTTTGATAATGGGTGGAAATATTGCGAAATTTCATGTTCCTAGCTGTATAAATCGAGGAGTTATAACGAAATTCTCATAACTGAACAATCAGTTGAATGGGAGATATATGTTGTAGTGGTCCGATTCTTCCGGTTCCGACAAATGATTAATAAATTTCATCCGGCTATCTCGAAAACTGAGAGACTAGATTGCATACAAACAGACAGACAGACGGACATGGCTAAATCGACTCAACTCGACTTTCTGGTCATTTAAGTATACATTTTAATTGGTCTATCTCTTCTTATTCTGGTACTTACAAACATCGGACCACAGTTGTAATACCATTTCATCGATGTCCTCTCCTTTCTAAGTTAGTTTTCACATAGTTAATTACCAAATACTTATGTTGTCGTCTTATTAATAGGCCAAAAAATGTATATCCAATTTTTAATTGATCAGAAATTTAAATTCAGTTTATAATTTACCAAAAATGTATGTCCAAGTTTTTGATTATCAAAAAATTAAACCAAGTTATTAAATTTCAAATTATCGTTCAGGGCATAGGTGTTTGTTCGTGTGCGGCCCAATGAAGCCGCGGTTAAGGTGCTCAGCACGGATGCCATTAAAGCAGTTATTGCGGACAGCGAATGACCATACTCTTATTTTAAGTTTTTATGGTAAAATATCTGTTATCTAAACGAAAAATAAATAAAGTTTACTCACCCTCACTCCAGCTGTATAGAAAACCACCTTTGGCGACACTGTCATCTCCCTTAAAACGTTTTTCAGCTGCTCGCCAATATCCACTTGCTTCCTCTCTTCGTAGGTAATACTGCAGGCTTGCATGGTGGCTAAGCTCTTCAGGAGCACATCCATTTGTGATTGCGTCAGAAATTCCGCTGAATTCTCCACAGGCTCATAACCCAAATCTACAATATTTTGCATAACAAACAAATCGCGACGGGTAAAGTAGCATTGAGCACACCAGATGTTAGTGGCTAAATTTTTTTTTTTACCAAATTAGAAGAGATAACAGTTATTAAAAATGTGTGAATATATTGGCTTAACTAAAAGCAACAGTAAATATTGACAGTTAACTTGAATAGTATGGTTATTGATAGTGAGGCTGTACCTATATTAAAAATCTCTGTTTTCATCAATTATTAAGATATTGTTTACACAACATATGTATGTACATATCTGTTTACGAGTGGGTCGTGTTATTTATTTTTCCTTTCTATTCTATCTCACTCAACAACTCACTCAGTTTTCTCAACTCGTTCAAAAGGCTCTCATAGATCGCTGCCTCTTTGGTGAGCATACCACATTCTTCAATAGCCGCTGTCATCTTTGGATTACGATGAGGCAACGATTTGACAAACACACGTTTTGTTTGAACATCAGTGCACTGAAAATGCAGTAAAAAGTAACAAAATAAATAATCAAGTCTAAGTCGTTTTTGTCAATTAGACTAAATGGGGTTATAAAATAATAAAGCTTGATAAATGTATTAACTGACATATGCAGTTATATGAGGTGGATTCTGTCGGAGTGTGCAACCAACGAAGACAGTTTATTTGATTGTACCAATTGAGCTCCAGAAACAGATTAGCTTCGATCATCAGCTTATAAAATAAAGAAACCTGTACGAACTTATTAAAAGACCCTATGAAGAAATGTTTTAAATTTTTATAAAATGTTGAAGTTAAAAACTTAGTTATAAAAAAAAGTAAGTAAGCCTTGGACACACTGGAGAAGGGAAACTTACGTTACATATCTATTTTGTCTCATAGCCAATACACATACATACATACACGCAAACATCTGCTTTTGCTTAAGGCTATATTTTTTGTTTTTTTTTCTATCTAGATCCCTACCTCTACCCCTGTTCGTTCTAATTACATTTATGTTATTTTGTTTTTCTTAATTTTTATCTTAAACTCTATCGATAACAAAATCGGTAGTAACATCCAACAAAATATCGATAACAAAACCGATAAAAAATCGATGATAAATTCGATAAAAATTTCGATAGCAAAATCGATAATAATATTGGTAGCAAAATCGATTAGAAAATCGATAAAAATATCGATAACAAAATCGATAAGAATATCGACAAAAAAATCGGTAGATAATCGATAACAAAATCGATAATAGTATCGATAACAAAATCGATAAAAATATCGATAAATAAACCGATAAAAAGATCGATAATTATATCAATAAGCCTCGAGAATCCCAAAAATCTCTAAAATCCCAAAATAGTTCTTAGATTGAGTCTGTGTCTCCATCTAAATCCTTTTCTCTATAATTACCTTTATTTTAGTATTTCTTACTCTATTTCCATCATTACTTTTATTCGGTATCCTCATCCTCATCCTTTTCTTTATATTTGTCTCTGTTTTTACCATTATGTTTATCATTTTCTTCATCTTCATTCCCCTTCCGCTTAGCCATTATACAAGTAAAGTGCTTAAATTTACCTTCACCTTCATTTTTGCCTTTATCTTTACGCTTTATTTTTATACCCGAGCGCACTTGTGCACAAGGGTATTATAACTTTGTTCACATAACGGTTGTTTGTAACAGGCAAAACGAATCGAGATAGATATAGACAAATGTATACATAAATGATCAGAATGAAAATAGAAATCGATTAAGCGGTGACTGTCTGTCCGTCCGTCCGTCCGTCCGTCTGTGCACACGATAACTCGAGTAAAAATTGAGATATCTTAACGAAACTTGGTACAAGGACTTCTTCTGGGCGTAGGACGGATGGTATTGCAAATGGGCGAAGTCGGACAATAACCACGCCTACCTCCCATATAACGGTAAATTTCAGAAATGCGAAAACTGCGATATTTTAGTAACTACTGAAGATAATTCACTCAAAATTGATATTTACAATGAGTTTTAGACGAAAAATAAGAATATTATAAATTTTTGGAAAATGGGCGTAGCCACGCCCACTTATGGTTATATGTGTATATCTTGGTAACCGCTGCAGCAATTTCTTCCAAACTTGGCACAGTTGTTAGTCCTGGTGCAGCATACCAAATGGCCGAAAATTTTTAAAATCGGATAATAACCACGCCCACATCCCATATAACGGTAATTTAGAAAAATACGAAATCCTCGATAAATCAGTAAATATTAAGGCTAATTTATTCAAAATTGATGGTTGCAACAACTCTATACCAAGAAATACGTTTGTGTTAAAATTTTGGAAAATGGGCGTGGCACCGCCCACTTATGGTCACATATATGTATCTCGGTAACCGTTGTACCAATTTGTACAAAACTCGGTATGGCTATTGTGCTTGCCACATAGAAGCAAAACGTTCAAAATTATTGAAATCGGACTAAAATTACGGCCGCTTTTCATATAACGGTAAATTTCAGAAATGCTTGAAATTTCTATATTTCGAAATTTAAGGACGCTAATTTTCTTAAAATTTATACACCCCGGCTTATCATGTAGCGGTAGATTTCGGAAAGGTGGAAAACATATATTTAATACTTGCGCCGGGTATTTAATGTTCGGCTCCGCCCGAACTTAGACTTTCTCACTTGTTGTTTTTATTTTTACCTTTGCCTTCATCCTTTTCTTTATCGATGTACGTACTCACCTTTCCTTTCATTCTTGTATTTGTATTTTTAAAAGTGTTATTCTTTAACCCTTTATTAGCAAGTTTTTGTTTAATTAATAACATACAAACAAGAAGCACTTGTTTCAGCCCCAACCATTTCCTTTGTATCATTTCCGTTGCACCATTTCCATTTATTAAGCAATTAACAGCTGATGGAATTTCGTTTTTTAAATACCCAGATGGGTATAAACTTTAGACGTATGCGATAAGGGTCACCGATGTCGAAATTTGAATCATATTTGAATAGATCGTATAATCGAATATGGATTGATTGTAGGTCATTGGGTTATATACTTATAAATGTAATATTCACGCCATTTTGACACTCTCCTTATCTTAGTTTTACTCGCGTTCGCGTAAATATTTACGTCATCAATGCGATATTGCAGTTGCAAGTGAAAATATTCACCCAAGTAACCGGTTGGGCCGCACTCAGGCACCACTTCGTAGGTCAGCAGTCGACCGGCCGCATTTGAACCCAACATATTGCTGAGAATATCTTCGACCTCTGCGCGCGAGAAGAGCCCATTTTGAGTTTCAGCTGACTGCAGAGTTGAGGTGGGACTCATTTTCTGGTTTGTGATTATTTTAATTTACTTCGATTTAAATATTTTAACACAAGTTAAAAAAACTTTAAGAGCTTTATAAATCAAAAAATTGTATGAAAATGTCACTTTATAAAGCTCTTTAAGCCTATTTTCTTTTTTATAAATAAGGCCATTAGTATTTAAATTTTCTGCAGAAGATTAGGAAATCCCTTTCACGATTGCGTCGTCACACTGCGACAATGGAATAGCAACTAGCTCATAATCCGCCCTATGTTGAATATCGTCATCGACAGCGAAGAGACGATATAAAGGCCCGTCCACATACAATTTTGGCGTTGCGTTGGCTCTGGTGTCGCTCTGACAGCAGCGCGAGCAACGCCCGTGCTTGCTACAATGAACGCTTAGCAGAGAATACTTCGTTCATTAAATTAATATACTAGCGGCAGATCAATCAAAATTTTATATCAATAATTGCATTAAAAACTATATTTCTTGTCCGCATTTGATTAAAAAGGGAAATTAAATCACGTAATTTTGATTATTTGGAACAGCTGACGAGCGAGGCGCGCGAAAAGTTGCGAGTTGGCCATCTTTTTGCGTTGTGTTGGCGTTGGCATTGCCCAACTTTGGTTATGTGGAAACTTACATATAAATGCATGTATTCATAGTCAGCTGTCGAAGCGACGCCAACGCCAACGCAACGCCAAAGTTGTATGTAAACGGGCCTTTATTGATGCGCTGACGATCGTCGACGATGACGATGATGATATTCAGCATAGGGCCGAAAGTTAGTTTACTCATTACATATATTATTTATATTCAATTGTTAGTTTACTCATTACATATATTATTTATATTCAATTGTAATCACTTGCCAATATGCCCCTCATATGTACCACATATGTATGTACCCTGTAGTCAAATGTACTAGTTGTAAACTACCTCACAACTAGTATGAACCGCATGCTCAACTAGTCAGCCAACTATCTTTTTTCCATGCAATCAACTGGTATTTTTACGAGATGGCAATTGTCAGATTTCGGTCAGAAATATACCAGTCTCATACTAGTTCAAAATAGGCAGAAAAATGATAGTCCAATTATGGACCAAAACCACTACTTTGGCAGTCAAAAAATTAAATGAATTCATGAATATACAATAAAAAAACTTTTGATTAAGTGCACTTTAATATATTACACATTTTTATTTAGCAGCCTTAGATTTTCCAATTATTAGTGTTAAATTTTTTGAGTATTAATTAAAAGCAAAAATAAATACATAAATATTCCAGACTTTCGAACATAAATTTAAATGCATTTTTCATTAAATGTTATTAAAAGTAAAAGGTTTCAGGTACAATAAATACTATATTTTTATCTTTTTTAATAATATTGATTCGCAAAAGAAAACATTTTAGTTAAAAATAAAATGAATACTTTAGTTCATTTTTGAGTGAACTACAATAGAAATAAAAGTGTTCATTAAATAAATTAAATTCATTAACTTTGCACATTTTAGTATATTAGTTTTAAAAAATTATAAAGGTAATAATTAATGTTTAAAATTTGAGATTTGGATAAGAATAAAATAAATAAATAGTTAATAATAATTTTTATCCATTGTTCGTCTTGTTGATTGATAATAGTAATTAACAAATAATTATGTTAATCGTGTAATTAAAAAAAGTCAAAAATAATTGAAAATAATCAAAAATAACAAAATAATAATGTAATTAAAATTAATGATTTAATTCACATTTTTTTAAGTAATTAATTATTCACCATTAAAAAGGTGGTAATATCGGTATGTAATCATTAAACGGTTATCCAAAAACATGCTTTAATCAATAATCATTATGAATATTTATCATTATTTAACAGGTTTGGTATAATTGAATACGTACTCGATTTGTTGGTTTACAAAATATACCCAAATAATAGTTATAATATTTTGTGTACTGTATTGTATTAAACTGTCGAAGTCAAATAAAACATGGCATGACTAAATTGTTTTGTACTTGGCACAAGTCTGATCATTTTCGAACTAGTTCGGTTTCTGTCAGGAAATTCTAGTTATAAACTAGAATTTTTCCTGACTAGTTTGGGGTTTCACTGCAGGGTATATACAGGCAAGCATAATAGAATCTGGGTTGAAAATGGAAATTTCAGATTGTACCTAATATCATAAAATAAATGTACCTAAATGAGACAGATTGTACCTAAAAAAAGTTACATCATTCATTTGTAGTTATTTAAAACATGAATACAAAAGATAGTACTTTCAATAAGATTAGGTTTTTTTTTACCTGAGCGTATATCTATAGACTTAACTGTAATGGGATTCGGAGAAGCGTTGTTTTTGTCTAATTTGGACAACTGAGCAATATTGGTGAAAAAGAAAAAAAAACACTTTGTGAAGTATACTTCTTTATCCAGCTTTTTATAAAACAACAGCAAAAGTCTGCTAATTTATCCGACTAGACTAGAGAAAATAATCAAATTACCGAAAGTAACTTCGAAAGCATTTTAAATATATTTCCAGAAATCAAAAAGCGAATAAATATATATAGTTCTCATTTAAAGAAAATATGAAATTTGAAGACATTCTAGACTCTGGACTGTATGGGCGAATAAAGGCTGGTTTTCATTACGTCATATTTTGACAACAAAATTTTTCGACATATTTTGACACAGTGGTACCCATTAAAAGGGGTAACAAATATCTGTGGAACAAAAACATAACATAAATAATAATTTTTACTTGCGTCCTGAAGGCCTATTCTGATCTAAATCAATCAAAAGACCATTTTTTAGTCCCATTTGACAATTTGTTTTCATTCATTTGACCACAAATGCCATTGAATTTGACTTAGTGAAAATAAGCGTCAAAATTTATACGAATTTGTACATAGCTACCACTGACCACTTTTCTTTAGAACTGTTTATTCTTCAAAATGAAAGCGAAGCTTCTTCCGTGCCTACTAGCAAAGATATTAACACGGTAAAGGAAAAAGAAAAAATGCATCTGAACAAAAGATGATTTTACCTAAAATCTAGTGACTCTACCTAATGTACCTTTAAGTCATCAAACGTCGGAAAAAGGTACAATTGTACCTACTTTTACACTTTCACCGTGGAAATATACCTACTAGAACTCACCAAAGAAAGGCCAACATAGTTCCACGTAGAAGCAAGCATGTAAATAGCATGTAATTAGAGTATAATTAGAGTGCAATCACAATTATTTGTGTATGTGTGTTATATAAGGCGATATTTGAACTCTTGTTGGGCTGGGTGATCGTGTAAGCTCGAATGACTCCAAAGAAATTTTCTATCCCATCTTGGTTCAAGCGATACGTTGAAATATACTTCATATCGAACCGGTTTTTACCGTTTTTGTACAGCATCTTCAGCGCATTGGTCGACTGTATGATGCCTGCATACTTTACATACTTTACTTTATATATATACGTATGTACACTTTATACATATGTGCCTGTAAGTATACTAGTTTAACTCTTTGAAATGGTAGCAGTGTGTGTTTTCCTATAACCCTCACGCTTTTCATCATTTCCGTCATGCCATCTAATATTTGAACTTTCTCATTCATCGCTAGACCGTAGGCGTGGCAGCGTGTTCTTGCGTCAGCATGTGGCGCCCTGACATTCATCACATCAAACCAATCGTTAGTATTAAAATGAAATATTTTAAATGATGAAGTATACATAGTTAAATATATGGATATACAACGTCTTTATGTAAATCTTACCAATTTAAAAAGTTCGGAGCACTCTTTCCAATTCGCTACTGTGTGCGAAAATAATTTTGCCGCTGTTTTCACATTTTCTCTTTGCGGTCCAGACACATTTAAATGGTTTGCTGAAATTTTATGATTTACTGTCAAATCATTAGAGGTGATAGACGATAACTCTAAAATTATTTCCTTCTTTACTGCTTTGCCATTTATCACAAATCCTTGGTCAAGGAGGTGATTACGGAGTAATTTGAGCATATGAGGAACGGTTGCAATCGTGAAAACTTGCTGCTCAGGAAAAAACAAACCTGTAAAAGCCGAATATGTTACAAAATATAAAATAAACTGCAAACGATTTTATGTTTCTATAAACTTGCCACGGCCTGTCTTCATGCACTCCCAGCCCGTTAAGAAGAGACCCCTTAGTGCCGCCAAGATTGCAAACAACCGCTACAACATTGTACCCGCTTGTATCTTTAGTACTTTGTTATATATTGAAGAACACGCCATTTGTCTTTTTACAGTCGAAGTCGTAAAATATCGGCTGTTTCCATTTAGATACAAGTCTTGGTGAAGAAAGTAGATTTATTAAATGTTTATTTCTTTGCTGTAAATTTCATTTAATGTTCTTTATATTTACCTCTGAGCATCGCTACTTGCACATAGTTGGCAGGTTCTAGTGTTGAGCCTGACGAGGCATCATAGCAGTAACTTTACCTGATCTTCATCTCGTCGAAACTCAAAACATATACTTTTTGAATAGTGTCCATTTGTGTAGAGGCTTTCAAGACTAGTTTTATTAAATCTCTTGAAAGGTCGATGTTTTGGGCCCATCTCTATAGCGTTCGAACTACAGTTAGCGGAAAACCTTTTTTATACATTAATCTGTACGCTTTGGGACTAGCGGCGTACAATGTTATAGATTGCGGTACGTCTTCCTGAGTACAGGTAGGTGTCTTTATATTATATTTAAATTTTGCAACCTGACCCTTCGTAAAGATTCCTTGCATTTTGGTCTCCATATTTTTGCAAAAGGTTTCGCACTCCTCCAAGCGCTTTTGCATCTGCTCTTCCTCGTAAACGTGTTTGAACGAACGAAACGAACGTGTGTGAATTCCGCCAGTTCTGTGCATTGCTTTTTGTTTTCTTTTCGCAGGTTCATATTTTCACGCTTTAATGTTTCTCTATATGCATGTAATTAAAAGAAAACTGTTCAATAAATCAATATTTTTAGTGCTGTATTGCTTTTAAAAGCTTACAGTTTTGCTTCCAACTCTTCAACTTCCTGCAAACTGCTGTCATAATAAAATATTTTGTGAGGTTTTGAAGTCGTGGGAATATCGGAAAGGTTTGCTTCCGTAAGGCTATTTTTCTTTTGATTCACACTTTTATCAGATATATTTGCATCAACAGTATCACTCGCAACGGCTATAAAAACTTAGCTATGCGACAGCGAAGGTGAGTGGCTATGAGAGATACGCCTTTGCAAGGTTAGAGAATGATAATTATTAAAGCTGAAATAAATGCAAAACAACATAGTAATGATCTATTCACTCTTCTCTAGAAATGATCTTAAGTGCACTGGAAAAATAGGGATAAAAGCCATACCCGAAGAGCTGTTGATATCCTACTAGGAGGGCGAAATGACTTAATAAAGTTTAAACCAGAGATAGGTGTAGTTCTCTAACCCTCTACAAAAATGAAACTATTGCTTAGATTAAGTTAAGATGTCGTCGATGATGTCGTCTACTCATTGTTAATGCTTTTTATGTGTGCCAGGAGGAGTTGCCATTATAATATCTGCCAACCCGCTTATGGTAATGTTCCAGATGAAATTGAGGTGGTCCAATCGTTCCAATTCCGTGAAATCTGCCAAGCTGTTGAAAAACCGAGGTTCCAGACGTTTAAGTCTGGTTTATTTGTACATTGTCAATGGAAATTCTATCGTTTCGTTTGGTTCAAAGACAATTTGTTGGGCCAGTTTTGTACTTTAGGATTTTCCTCGCTGGATGTAAGGACTGTTCCGCTTCACCGATTTGCGATTCCCGTGCCTAGACATCTCATAGGGTTCAGGAACTTTAAAGATACCTATTTTGATTAGACCGTACATTCAACCTACACTAAGTTTTGCTTTTGGCTTGTTTCGTGATTTTCTTGTAGCATCGTATAATTCTTGGTTAGAGTTTGTATATGAGCCCTCCGTCTATCTGATAAAACTTTGTCGCCGAATCATTTTTAAAGAGCCTTAATGACTTATTTGTTATCCTCAAGGATTCTCAGAATTTCTAGCAGTTGTCCACATGAAAGACCGCATGCGACTCTTGAAGTCATGAAGCTTGTCCTATGGAGTACCCAATCTTACTCATATTGGCTACATCATTGATCCAAGTGGCCGAACAACGTGACCGAATAGGTTAGATGCCTTAGTATTTCGACCATTAGTTTCAAAGATCTTCTGAGAATTACTGGGTAAAGTTTACGTTTTTCAAAAAGACTCAGGCTGTTACGTTATGATTCATAACTTATGAATAAATAACTTTAGTTCAGGAATGCAAATAAGGCACCTCGCTTTGCCTCTACAATGGCTAAAACGAATGTAGTAGTACGCGCCATCTGCCAGAGGTGTACCCTTACGGAATTTTTTTTCAAAAAAATGAATATTTGTTAGACTAAGTAGACCTCTGAAATTTTTTAGCTAAACTTAAATGATACAAAGTTGAATATATGTTTTATTACAACAACACATGCATCATTTCTTCAATACAATCAAAAATATACTCCTTAAATTTCACATCCAATTTCAGCAGCTCGAGCACCTCATTAACCCGGTCAACATTTGTGTAGCGATGAAAGGCATCTGGGTGATTCAGCTTTGAGTTCTTCAAATAATCGCCCGGCACACGCAGTATTGTCGCTGAGATGCAGTTGTAGAGCGCACCGAAGAGCTCCAGCGACTTTAGCGACTGTTCGAATTCGTTTCGACTGAGTTGTTGCTCGGCGTCCACATCCTGTCGCTTCAGTTCGTCGGCGAAGTAGTTGTAGTTAGTACCTGTCGTAGTACCAATATTTCAGCGTTTTCCATTGCTGTGGAGTGATGTTCAGGTAGACTACCATGAGAACATCAATAGCGGGTGGACTATAGCGCGCCAGTTGGTAGTCGACTAGAACTACCGGCTCGGTGTCAGGTTGAGATTTACTGAAGAACAAGTTGCCGCCCCAGAGGTCGCGGTGGCAAAAGACGTT